GTCAAAATTCAAGATAAAGGAGTCAGAACTGGAACCGTCCAACATGGTGGTCAAAGCATATGATAATACCATGCGCAACGTAAAAGGGAATTTCAGAGCGAAAATCTCAACAAAGGCTATAGAGAGTTGGGTGGATGTGGTCGTTCTGGATATTCTGGCCAGTTATGCTTTATTATTGGGAAGACCATAGCTCCATCCTCTAGGAGCAATTCCGTCCACCTTGCACAGAAAAGTGAAGGTTCCATGGGGTACCGAGGTGATAACCATTAATTCGCAAGAGGACTTGAATGTGGCTGCAGTGGAAGGTCTTGAGTTGACAGTGCCTTTGTCTGGTTTCCAAGTGGCTGTGATTGATGTGCCAGTTAATGGGAGTAAGAGTGCAGTAAACAGAATGAGCCCTTTTTAGTAAGAGTGCAGTAAACAGAATGAGCCCTTTTTCTATAAAAATGATGAAAAAGATGCAGTGGCAGTATGGCAAAGGGCTAGGCCGGGAGCTACAAGGAAGGTTTGAACCTCTCTAATCAGCATATGGACAACAAGATAAACGTGGGCTGGGATATTCAGAGAACAGAAAGAAGGAAAAGTATGAGATCCAGTCTCCGATAAGAGAGCCAAATCTAAATCAGATCTTCTTTGTCCCAGAGGCTTCAGGGGAATTTCAGAGTAGAGGGAAGACCTACCCTGGCCTGGAAATCTTCATGACAGACTTTACTGAACAGTTGATCAAGTCTCCTGAACCTTCCTTCGAACAGTTGGTTGAAGGCATAGAGTTCATGGTGGGTATGACGCAAGCAGGCACTGAAGCTGATTGGTCGAAGAAGATATCTGAATTTGAAGATTTCCTGGGGATTGGGAATGAAGCTTCCAAGATGGTGCAAGAGCAGAAAGCTAAGGCGAGGATCCTCCAGTCAGTACTAGCTGCTGAAGATGCTGAAGAAGCAGAGAGGAAGGTGCTGAAGATGGCAGAGCATAGAAAGGCCAAAGCAGAAGCTACCCCGGAAGCAAAATAAGCACCAGATGCTGATGAAGTAATTCAAGCAATAAAGAACAGTTGTGATGAATGTATTGAGCAGGCTATTAATCCTGTCTTTTGTTTTTCAGATGTTTGTTTTGAGAACAATTTGGATGGTATTATTTCAATCAATGGAAGTGAACTGTTGATTATTTGTTTTTCTTGTTCTGATTGTCACGTTCATGGCATTGATTATACCATGCGCATATTTGACATAAATGGATTGCATCATTTTGGCATTTAAACTTAAGCACCACTTGAAGATCCTAAATTAATCGAAACGCGATCAGAACTTCAAACAAACCTGAACTTAGACAGGATCTTCAAGAATGTATCAGAAGAAATTCAAAGGTATTTGCCTGGAGCTATGCCGACATGCCAGGGATCGACAGATCAATCGCAGAACACTTCATTCCTACTAACCCAAATATTAAGCCAGTGAAGCAGAAGAGGAGACGGGTCAGACCAGAATGGCAGGATAAAATCAAAGCTGAGGTCCAGAAGCAGTTGGATACAGGATTCTTGGAAGTAGTACACTATCCGGAATGGTTGGCCAATATAGTCCCTATGATGAAGAAAGATGGGAGGATAAGGGTCTGTGTTGACTATAGGGACCTAAACAAAGCCTCACCTAAGGATGACTTTCCACTTCCGCACACCGCACATAGATGTTTATGATCGATAGTGCTTGCCGGCAATGGGATGTTATTTATAATGGACGGATTCTCCGGATACAACCAAATTACTAGATGGCCCTTTAGTCGACAAGCACAAAAACAAGACTGGCCTTCACCCATGGAAGTTTCGAAACTTTTGCTATAGGAGTGATGCCATTTGGACTGAAAGAAATGCCGGGGGCGGAACATATCAGAGAATGGCTCAACATTTATTTCATGATATGCATCCATCTAAAGGATTGGAATTTATTGTAGGGATGATATGGTGATCAGGGACAAGAAACACAGGAAGAGCACGCAGAAATGCTCTTGGGAAAATTCTTTGCACGGGTAAGCAGTACAACTTAAGACTCCAATCCCAAAAATGCCTATTCGAAAGTAACAAAAGGGAAGTTGTTAGGTTGTTGTAGACCTAACAGGGATTGAGGTTGACCCGATAAAATAAAAGCCATTCAGGATATAGACCGCCAAGGAAGCGAACGTCAGTGAGAAGCTTCTTAGGTTAAAATTGCAATACGATCAGCAGGTTTATTTTCCAGGCTACCATCACTTGTGCTCCGATTTTCAAGCTACTTAAGAAGAATCAGCCAGTTAAAGTGGAATTGAGGACTGCCAAAAAGCTCTGGATCATATAAAGAAGTATTATGATGAATCCACCAGTGCTTGTGAATACTCAAATTTTGAGGGCTTCTCATGTTGTGGTGGCTGTGAAAAACTCTTTAAATGGAGGAAAAACACGCTCTTACGTGCCATTGCCAATTAGTTTGACTTTGCGTACAGCAAACTGTGCAAACAGTTCCGGGCCGGACCGGGAGGCCATTGAACATTTACTGAAATATGTCATTTGGAGGTCGGAAACTCCCAAAAAAGCTCTCGGAGCGAGACATGGTGGCCACCACCAGCTACGGCGGCGCCGGCCGCCGGACACGGCGGCTCCTACCGCCTAGCATGGGCGGCACCTGTCGCCCCACCGCCTGGGCGGCACCTGCCGCCCCACCGACTGGGCGGCCCCTACCGCCCAGCATGGGCGGCACCTGCCCCCCCACCGACTAGGCGGCACCTGCCGCCCTCCCAGGCGGCAGCTACCGCCGAGCCAGGCGGCACCTGCCGCCCTGGACCCGAAAATGGCCTATAAGTCCAATTTTGGCACCCCTGTCTGTGTTGACGGACGAACGGCAAGCTGCCTGCGAAAGGCCAGGCGGCACCTTGCGGCCCCTGACCCGAAAATGGCCTACTAAATAGCCATTTTCAGTCCAAATTTTGCACCTCTGGTTTGTTTTAACGACGGAAACCCTCTCCCTCTCACGCTCTTGCGTTCTTTAGTCGCTTTTGCATTTATTTAATTTTTATTGCATTTTTATTGTGAATATTTTGGACATTAAATGAAAACAAGATTAAGATTAATTATATTCCTAAGCGAGGAGCTCAATCCGGAATTAGAAAGCGGTCGTCACTAAGATCAGTATGTAAACAAAACTTCTGGCCTAATGTTGAATTTTAGGCACTTCATGCCATTATTTCTTCTTCGTGACTCTTTTAATAATTCTAGCAATTGCATAACTGCCATCGACGTCATTATTTTGGTAAATAAATCTGCCTTAATTAATTTGATTAAGCTGTTAAAGGCCCGGTTAATCAATAATACGTGGTATTAAAGTTTAATCCGACAAATGATTGGCTTAAAAGAGCACTAGTTAATTATAACTACGCGTTCAATTGCCTTATTTCGAACAAATCCGCTTAAGTCCAATTAATCAATATTGTGGCTAAAAGCTTAATCATCACGTTTCGACAATAAAATTGTGATTAAGGCTCGAACGCCCGATTAATTGATAATCTGCATTAAAGCCTAAATCGCACATTTTGGCAACAAAACTAATTGCCTAAAAACAGACACATTTTGGCCAAAGGCCTAAAAATCAACCATTTTTAGCAACAAAAATCGCATGTTTAAAATCAATCTGTTTGGCAAAATGCCTTTTGAAAATCGACTTTTGGCAAAATGCCTAAGATGAACCCAATTTTTCGCCAAAAGGCCTCAAAAATTCAACATTATTTTTTGGCGACAAAAATCCGCTTTAAATCCGAAGCATTTTGGTAAATTAATTGGCCTAAATCAAACTCATTTTGGTAAAGGCCTTAAAATCAACCATTTTGGGCGAAAATACGCCTTAAAATCAACGATTTTTGGCAACAGATTGCCCCTTAAATCAAATCATTTTGGCTAAAAAGCCATTAAAATAAACATTTTGGCAACATGCCATAAAACCAATAATAATTTTTGGCAAAACGCCTAAACTCATGCACAAAGCATTTACACATCGATGCACAAGGCATACAACACATGATTTAAGATACACACAAAATGCACAAAGCATACACAAATTCATGCACAAGCTACCAAAAATCATGCATAAGCATACACACAAAAAAATGCACGAAAGCATAACACCAAAATCATGCACTAAGCATACACACACCCATGCAATTAGAGATATCATTCAAACCCTTTTTAAAAGAGGCCTATGCGAAAACTACGTTGGATTTGATCTTCCATTCAAACGGGAGTACGTAGGACGTCGGATTTAACCCGAGCGGCAAGTCGAAAATCACTCAAACATTTTCATAATCCATCATGTCAGCCCGCAAAGCGATTTTGTTGTAGGACCTAACGGGATTGAGGTAGACCCCGACAAAATAAAAACCATTCAGAATATAGAACCGCCAAGAACAGAGCGTCAGGTGAGAAGCTTCTTAGGTAAAATTCAGTACATCAAGATTTATTTCAAGGTTATCCATCACTTGTGCTCCAATTTTCAAGCTACTTAAGAAGAATCAGCCTGTTAAATGGAATGAGGACTGCCAGAAAGCCTTGGATCACATAAAGGAGTATTTGATGAATCCACCAGTATTGAGTTCGCCTAGACCAAGAGAACCTCTGATGTATTTGTCTATAGAGGATGCAGGAGTGGGGGCAATGTTGGTACAGCTGGACGCCGCTGGAGTAGAAAAGGCCATTTACTACATTAGCAAGAAACTATTGTCGATCAAGGAGAAGTACAACTTGGTGGAGAAAATGTGTATGGCAGTAGTATGGTCGATAAAGAAGTTGAGGCCTTACTTTGATTCCTTCAGGGTCACTTTCGTTTCGAAAATTGATCCTATGAAGTATCTGCAAAGAATGCCTACTCTAGAAGATGAAGTATCTGCAAAGAATGCCTACTCTAGAAGGACGGTTGTCTAAGTGGTTAATTCAGATGTGTAGTGTGGACGCAGAGTTTGTAACGAAGAAAACGGTCAAAGGTCGGGCTATGGCAGAGTTCCTCGCAGAGAATCCCGTTACAGATGATGAGTTATGGGAATTGGAGTTTCCAGATGAACACTTGCTATGTATCGAAACAGGGGTTTGGAAGTTGTACTTTGATGGATCAGCCAATAGGAACGGAGCCAGAGCTGGTATTGTTATAGAAGCACCTGATGGCGAAGTCACCACAATGTGCAAAAGATTGTTGTTTTCGGTCACTAACAATATGGCTGAGTATGAAGCGTGCATCATGGGAATGGAAGCTCTTCTTACATCCAGTGCTAAGGAAGTCGAGGTAATAGGAGATTCGTTATTAGTTATTGAACACACCAACGAGAGATGGAAGGTAGAAGAAGAGAGATTGAAGCCCTATGTCGAGTACTTGTTGAAGAAGGCAACACTCTTTGATAAGATTACCTTCACTCACATAGGAAGAACCTATAACAGAATTCCGGATGCCTTGGCAACTTAGCATCACTTGGCGAGGATTTTAAGGTAAAGTTCCAAAGAAAGCCATTCATCATTATCAAGTATCCCCGGGCTATGAAGAAACCATTTTGTGAATTCAGTGGAGTCGGAGGGAAGAATCCTAGTTTACGGATATTCGAGGTGATATGAGAGACCGGAACTTTTTCTGATGATACGACGAGAGAAGACCGTGCATTCTCAGAAAAATGGCTTTGAATTTAAAATGGCTTTGAATTATATCCTGGCTGATGGTGAACTTTATAGAAGAGCTTGGGACGGGATGCTGCTAAGATGCGTGAGTAAAAAGGAAGGAGAAGATATAATGAAGAAAGTTCATGAGGGAGTTTGCGGTACCCATTTAAGCGGCATGAGTTTAGCAAGAAAAATCATGAGGCAAGGTTATTTTTGGATGCAGATGGAAGGTGACTGCATTCATTATGTACGTCATTGCAAAGCTTGCCAATATCATGATAATAAAAGCCATTTACCTGCCGTTGAACTCCATTCGATAACTCCTTCTTGGCCTTTTTCTGCATAGGGTATAGACATCATCAGCAAAATCTCACCAGCAGCATCGAACGGCCATCAGTATATATTGGTTGCAGTGGACTACTTTTCTAGGTGGATCGAGGCTCAATCCTATAAAACTTTGCCAAACATGTGGCTAGTAGATTGCATTGAACAGAAAACATTGTTTTGTCGCTATGGTGTCCCCATCACATAGTATACAGATAATGGTTCATTTTCAAAGCAGATGTGGTCAGTTGCTTTACCAGTATAAGTGTTGAGCATCCCATTCTTCTCCTTATCGCTCATTCCTCTCCTTATCGGCCTCAAGCTAACGGTGCAGTAGAAGCCGCCAATAAGGAGATTAAGAGAATTCTGTCCAAAATGTGCGAGAAGTATAGAGGCTTGGCTGAGAAACTTCCTTTCGCGCTCTGGAGGCATCGAACTACTTTCAAGTCAGTGAATGGAGCTTCCCCTTTTGAGCTTGTATATGGGATGGAGGCAGTGTTACCTGTAGAGCTTGAAAAGAAGTCTCTCAGGGTTCTTGTGGAAGCTGGTCTGACTGAAGAAGAATGGGTCAAGAAAAGGTATGAAGACCTAGCACTGTTGGATGGTAGAAGATTAAATGCTAGATTCCAGGATCAGATGAGAAAGAGAAGGATCGCTCGTTTCTACAATAAGCGGGTACATGCAAGGGCTTTGAAAAATGGGGATTTAGTATTGGTCAGATTGTTAGACCACGAATCCCAAAGTCATCCTAGAGGGAAATTTAGACCCAATTGGCATGGACCGTTCAGAATTCAGAAGCTACTAGCCAAAGGTGCCGCTGAATTGGTCACTATGGAAGGGAAGTCTTTTAATCGGATTGTTAATCAAGACTAGATGAAAAGGTTTTATGTTTGAAATGATGATTTCGATTATAAAAAAAAAAAAAAGGTTGAAAACCCGAAAGGGTGGGCCTAGGCAAAAGTTGAGCTACAAAACAAATAAAAATTAAAAATGAAATTTTCGGGATTAACGCGTGGTGTTAGTTTAAATGCGTAAATTCTATGTCATGCTTCGGTGATAGATTATGTGATTGTTGCTCTAAGGCCATCAATTTGATTAAGAGAGATAGGCAATGAGTAGTTTAGAATAAATGACCATTGTATTAAAAATAAAATTTTCTTTACTTCGTGCTATAATACTTCTGTATAATGTTGAAAAGAAGTAAGATCAATAAAGGGTTTGAATTTCAAAATTTTTCTTCCTTTTGTTTCAGGGATATGGTTAAAGAATGCAATACCTTCCTATCTACTTATCTGATCAAGATTGACTCATCTACTTTGAAAATGTTCTGGCTGTTGGTCCTGCCTAAGTGATGAACTCTTTTAAAACATTGATCAAGCGAACAAATACCATTTTCTCAGTGACTTCCTTGGAAAGATCAATAAAACCATGAATAAAACCTTAGTACTCATGTAGGTTCATGCATACATAAAGAAGTTGCATATGCTGTTTTGTTTGATCTGTTGCAGGTAATAAAATAGCCCCCCCTTCTTGTTTCCTGAATGTAAGCTTCTATCTTTAAATAATAATTATCTTTAAATAATAATTCATTTTTATGAGTCCTTATTTATTAACCTAGGGGCAGGAGGCCCAAATAACTAACACAATAAATAATTTCGAAAGAAAAGCTTTGTTGTCTTTTGTTGTCCATGTGTGCAGGAATTAATAAAGACAGAACCGTCGGAGTCATTAATAGAAAGAAAAGTAGATATATTAAATAGGAGCTCATGGCCCGAACATAAAAGAAGATAGAGAAAGCAACAACAGCATTTATTCCAGTAGGGGCTATCGTCAGACGCCAATTTTGGCAGAACCTAGTATCATCATGGGGTGTAAAACCAGTTGACATACTCGGGTGTCACAGTGTCCTGCATCACTCTTTCACCTAGGTACCTGGTGTTTCGGTTTCGCCAACAGTCAACCAAATTTGTCAAAAGATGCGGCGTTATGAGACCACTTTCGAAGTTATGGATTCTGGGAATGCGCTGTATCATTCCGTATTGACAGCTGACCCTGTCTGGGAAATAGGCCATGGAACGGTCTAGACTGGCATACAACACATTAGTGGAGGGTTCATGCTTCCAGTAGTGACCAGATCTGATCCTACCACTAAGGACAAGTCCACCGCGGGATTGTCGGGTTATCCCCAAAGTCGAAATGTCTTCGAGAACGAGACGGAGTGGCAGGACCTAGTTGGAATCAAACGAGCTGGGACGGAAGAAGTCAAGCGTTAACTTGTCGGTAGAGGCCCAGGGCTGTGCAACAACATTGGACAAACCACGAATGTATGAACATTAAAGTTTGGTAATGTGAGAGGGGCCGAATATCCCGTGACCCAGCAAATGCGTCTCTCCCATGATCGAATCATGAAGATAGTACGGATGATTACAGTTGCATTCAACAAACCAACTGTCAGAAGTCGAAGATCTCCAATCCCAAGTTGGCAGTTCTTTATGGCATTACGCACACGTCAATATCAAGAAACAACAAGCTCGAATCCAGAGAGGGATCTATATCCATGGACAGAACCCTACCTTCAGAAAGGCTCATAAAGGGAAGACCGATCCGAAGTTAGCCGTCAGGGAGGGTAAACCGACACAGGGCCATAATCTCGCTAGATCATACCTAGACGTGGAGTGCAAAACCCCGGAGTTTCATCTGTGTTCAGATGATAATCCATCACGGCACACATTTTTCCTCATGTTCGTGAGTTACTTCAGAGTCTTCAACCGGAAAGACCATGGTGTTAGGGTGTTAGGATTGAAGTGTGTGACGAGCCAAGACAAGAAACCATGGTCGGGTTTTAGGTCTTTGAAATATTTCAGCCAAACGAGCTGGTTCATAGGGGGAATCTACCATAGGTCGTCAGGGATGGATTCGACGAAGGATGAAACTTGGTTTCTGAAAGCCATGGAGAAGGATTATCTAAGAAAAGGATTTATTTTGAATGCTGGAAGTGAAGAAGATGCAAAGGGAAGCCTCCATTTATAGAAGTGCAAAGGGTTCAATGAACGAAGCATCATCATTATTTGATCTGATATTTACTGTCAATGGTGGGTGAAAGGGTATTTATGCATAGATCGCTCTGGTGGTTGGACACTTACACCCGCATTAATAAAAAGGACAGTTTGTACAATAAGGAGGTTGAGTCTTTATGACCACATTAACCGCCTTTTTAACATCTTCTGGATCATGAATATGTTCCAGAATTATAGAGTCTGTATCAACTAATATAAATTCATAAAACTTTTTATTTTTTGAAAGCGACTCGGGAACAAAATGGAAATTAGAAGGAAATACCTTTTGAGCGACTTCTAAAAAATTTGAACATTTGGTAATGTAGGTAATTGGTATTTCTATATCCTTATTAACATAAGGATAATTAATTGTAGAAGATGATGATGCACCGGTAAGGGCGTCATGGTAATTGGTTGGCTTATTTATAACCGAAGTAGTTGAAGCAAGAGTTGGTATTGGTAATTGAGTTGTTGAAGGGCCAGGTAATTGAGAATAAATACTCACACTCTTTTTTCCATAATTTTCTCTTGTAATTTTATTCTTAATGGGAGTGCCCATTAAGTTTTGCAACAAATTCTTCAGATAAAGGGAAAAGCTTATTTGGTTCTATCTTTTTCTTGCAAAAATTCGCGAGTAAGAAAATCAGGTAAAGAGTTAGAAGTACCTTGGATGGCTTCAACCTCAAAATCGAAGCACGATAAAATGGCTGGCCATCGAGCGAAAATTTGTTTTGAAACAATATTTTTAACATCTTTTTCTAAAACATTTTTGGCTGCTAAGTAGTCAATTCGTAAAAGGAATTTTTTGTTAATTAAATCATCTTCAAACTTTGTAATACATAGAACTATTGAAAGCAATTCTTTTTTAATAGTTGAATAATTTTTTTGTGTATCATTCCATGCTCCAGTATGGTACCTAACTAAGGATTCAAAAGATTGATATGGTAATTTTTGTTTAAGAACACCTCCATAGCCTATATCTGAGGCGTCTGTTTCTACTATAAGAAATGAATCGGGATTTAATATAGAAAGGCAAGGAAGACTCTTAACTTTAGATTTTATGGCTTTAACAAGCTGGATATGTTTTTCAGACCAGGGATAAGAGTTTTTCCTTAACCTATTAAACAGTGGTTGACATAAGATTCGAATATCTTTCATGAAGTCAGTAACATAGTTCAGACATCCTAAAAATCTTTGTAATTGATTTTTATCAATAATTTCGTCTGGAAATTTTTCAGTAAAATTAATTGATCTGTCAATCGATTTAATAGTACCTCGAAAAATGTCATGTCCTAAAAATCTTATTTTAGTTTGAAATAGTTTAACTTTTGGAGCAGAAACAACTAAACGGTTTTGCTTAACTATATTATAAAACTTTTTCAAATGAGAAAATTGAAATGAGAAAAAGTGGTTGATCAATATCGATTTGAAA